GGGGGGGGGGGGGGAAGGAAAATGAGGAGCTGATACCAGGAGCCCAAACGGAAAGCAAGTTTTGAGAAAGATGAGGGAAATGAATGTATAAGTGTGCTTTACACAATTGATGTATGTGTGGATTGTGATAAGAGTTGTATGGGCCCCAATAAAATGATTTTTTAAATGTGGTAATAAATTATATTACTTAGCACCATTAAATATGAATGAAAATAAATTTCAAGTTTAATATTTGTGTATAATAAAAAATAGATACTTTTAGTAGATATAACAAGAGTGGTTTTAATTGACCAGAATAACCTAAGTATATTTTAAAAATTAAAGAAATAGCAGTTTCAATTAGCAGATTAAAATCAAGATAAAATAAAAATACATTCACATTAAAAATGATAAATGATAAATATACTGTCATGGTTACAACTAGTTATATGTACATTGGACTACAATTGAACAAATGATAAATTCCAATATGGATATTTAATGAATATAAACACTGGAACATACTTTCAGGAGCAAAGAAACGACATTAACATTCTTTCCACTAACTGCATAAAATTAGCAGACCTATATTTCAAAATGCCCCAAGTTAGTTTTTGATACCAAATGAGTTGGTTTTAAAAGATTATAAAATTTTACTTTTTCTTTATGAATGAGACACAAAGAAGATATTAATTAGCAACTTAGCTTTCAGAAAACCTACCATTGAGAAATATTACATGTATCGATAACTAGAGACAGCCTAAACATTAAGACTGTGCAATAGATGAACATTGACTATTGAAGAAATTTGATCTAAACTTAACATTGATAAAATCACTATAGAGATATAAAAAGTACAATATCTAACATATACCACAGATGTTTCACCATTTTTTACTGTCCTTTAAGGATGTCTTGACAGCGTGTCTAGAGTAATGCTGAAAGGTTTGCACACTGTTAGCAAATCAGTTGAACCTGCGTCTTTGAATAATAAATAGCTAGAGAGTGAGTTTATGTTTTTCAATTGTGTAGACAATGGAAACGTTCAGAACAGCCAATGTTTCTTTTTATGACAGCTATTATGTATTCATACATTTGAAACTAAGTTAATAGTAACTTTACATGTAAAGACATTATAAATGTATTGATGAGCTTATTAACATGCTAATTTTTATTGATTTAGATAACTAACCTAGATGATTTCAAATAACCTCTGGATTCACCATCTATTGTGGACTTTAAGAAATAACCCATGATGGCTGTCAATAGCCCATTATAATGACAAAATTAAAAATCACATACACTATTATTTCTTCTCCTAAAACTGACTTCTACAAATGAAAACATTTTATTCTTTGAATATTTCTGCAGAAATTATCTTAAGGAAATTCAAATTCTATTTAGATATCCAGTGAATTTATTCTTCTGATTTTTCCCATCTTCATTTAATTATTCCTCAGGCATTCTGAGAATAATTCATGTTCAATAATACATTCAAGTTCTTCACGGATTTATATTGTCATATACACCAGTTCTATTAAAATATTCCATTTTCTGAAAAACCCCAAAATGTAAACATTGTAACTGACATCTATAGATAGTGTTTCTCTATTTTTTAAAGTTAAATTGGAACATTTCTAACGGGGTCAAGTCCCGAGTTATTTACCTTTTCTGGATTAGAATGCAAGTTCATCGTCAAAATAAAAGGGGGGGAAAAATCACACCTATTATAAAAGTGTGAGTCAGCAAGAGTGTCAGCAAGTTTAATATATGTTAAAAATGATCTTGCATTTAAAAATAAATATTGTATATGTTATCATAGATATTTCGTTCCTCTTAGATTTCAAACTTCTGATGCTAGTATCTGGTTGTCTTCAAAATACCAAATATAGAATTATAAACCCTATTTTATGATAAAATCAGCTCAAATACAGTATCAGATATTGAAATACGTACATTATTGCATTATGTATTCACTTAAAAAAATACCATCTTAGATGGTATGCATTTGATTGAAGACTGTAAAATTGAATAACAGTATTTACAAGTTCATTTTCACAACACATTTTTCACAAAGTCCCGAGAAAATAAGAAAGTCTTCATTGATTTTCCTTCATATAAAATGATGCTAAATATGTTCACATGGTAGAAATGGAGAGGGTAAAGTTTCTATTTACAGATTCCCTCCCATCTGTGTAGTAGGACAGGAAAGTAGCTGATAAGGAGTTTTGTAGCATCAACTTTAGTGATACAGATGTGGAAATGATCACCAAATGGCAAAGGCAGACATGACGCAGTTTATCATCATCATGGATCAGTAAATGAATGGCCCATAGCAATTCTGCTTAGTTGCTTTTCTTGGAAAGACGAAGGTAAACCCACTGGACTCATTGACATTTTATCTGTTTCCTTGAGAAAGGGACAGAAAGTCTGCTAGACAAGAAAAAAAATCAATTCTACCAATGAAAATGGGATAGCTTTTTGTTGTAGTTCAATTGTTTAGCTAATTTTAGTTCCATATTTAAAAGCTTAAGATAGATCTCTTTTGAAAACTAGAGTAGAATCATAGCCAATGTGTATTATGAACTTTTGCAATCTTATCTGTGAATTAATTTGGCGGTGTACTAGATAGAGCTAGTTCAAACAAGCTCACAAAAGTGGATGTGTTCATTTCTTCCCAATTCCACATTTAGTAGTTTCAGGCTGGTTGCTTGAATTTGCCCATGGTGGAAGTATTTACACCATGGAAATTGGCAAATGCTACAATTTAATATATTGGGTTTTGTGGTGTTGGTTTTTACTCCCACATAGCTGTTGAACTTTTACCAGTACAAGGTTGAATTCCTATGTTTGTTTCTGTGTGTGGCATTCAAGAAATGTATTTAATACTGAAATGTCCATATAAAGTCATGAAACCAAGTCCTTGAGCTAGTGGTACAAAACATTTACGCACTGTTCCATCTATTTCAAGCATAAAAGTTTTCTGGTTTTAAAACAACATTTTCAATATCATGGATGCTTTTCCCATTTAAGTGTTCACTGGGATAGTCTTGACTGTATCCTTGACCATCACTGATTGTCGACACTGTGTAAGATGCGCTACGGAGGGCCTCTGTCTGGGAAAAACTGTTTCCAAATTGGATTCTGTATTGATTCCAGTTTCTTCTTAAAATTGCTTGAACCTATCCATCAAAAAGAAGCAAAGAGAATAAGAATGACCCATTCATTGACATGCAGTTGCTGTACTTAATAGCATAGTAAAACAGCTATGAAATCCTTGATGTTAATGTGTTACTTTCTTTTTATTCAGTTTAAAACATTAAAATGAGTAAATCACATTAGGAGATGCATTGCAAGTACGCTGTATTTTCAGATACCATTGGAAATTCTTTTCATGCCATGTCTTTGAAGCCTTAATAATGTGTGAATAGGTATACATTCTTATTAAATAGTTATAACAGATCCCACTTACAAGATTGTATGTCCAACACCTAATTTTATATTGATACATTCATTAGGAGAATGAGAAAGTAATTAGTGAGAGTATGAAAGAAAAGGGAAACAAAGAAAACAAAAACTAAGCTACTGAATTAGGTAAATGATCATTATTCGCCGTAACAGCAGGAGCAATCCTCACTGAGTGATCATCGTGTCTTAAGGATTGTGCAAGACTCTGAAGACAAAGTGGAGGTTTTGTCCTCCTGAACTTTACCGACCAGGGAAAAAAGTTACTGAAAAAATAATTACAAGTGGATAAGTATTGTGGAAAAACTCTTTACTAAATTTACCATCCTTCTATTGCATTGTATCTGGACCACTCCTACTCCCCGCCCCCATACAAAAGTAACTTGATGTTTAATGACTCTAATTTCTAGTCACTCCAAGGGGAGTCGTGATTTTGGATGAGAACTGTCAGTGGTTATGGAGTCAATTCTGACTCTCAGTGCCCCATCTCTTACATATATGTGTGTGTGCGCGCATCAGCATGGACTCAATAGCAGTCAGTTATATGCAAGTTTAATTTGATTTATTCATTGTTGTTGAGAATACACATAGAAAAACATCAGTTCAAGAGTGCAATTCGCAGACAATGATTGCATTATGTAACCCTTCTTACCCTCTTCTCTGAGATGCCTCCCATCTATTGACATCAATTCACTGGTCCCCTTACATTCCTAGCTAACCTTCGGGTGCTGCCGTCTATCATATCCGATATCGATAGCTGTTACAAGAGTATGCTGCTTCGGGCATACCCATTTTACTCAGTAAACAATCATTTTGCTTTATGAAGACTTCTGGGGATACTTTTGGTTTAAGGTTTAAATATCATTTCAAGACATGTTCCCCGTGGCTGTAATTTTGATAATATCAGGTTTTACAGACGTTGTTTCACTGTACTGCTGAGTAGGATTGAATTGCCATCAAGTTAGTAATTGAGTGTAAACCAAGGCAGGTCATCTATCCTGACTTTAGTTTTAACTGAACATCGAGTCCAAACCAATGCCTAATATTCAATAAGCGGAAAGCAAGCAAGACTTTCCAAGTGTATCTTCAAGTGAGTAACTGGGACATTTCCACGTCTCGGGAGTTAGCCGACTACTTTGGAAATCTCCGCTTCCATGTTAAGAAGGTCTCTGCCATCGCGCTGTGGAAAGTAGGCACTGTTTGCTGCATTTTGACCAAATGATTCCCCAAAGGAAGCCTGAGCATGTAAGCGTATTTTCTGATAATTTATATATAAAGGGGATTTTAAAAATCATGAACAATATAGAATTAAGAGACAATGGAACATTTCCATTTCTGAAGCCCTCTCATATTACAAAGATCAAAGGCAAACTCACTGCCATTCAGTCGATGCTGACTTAACAGTGTTCTCGCTGTGGGCTACCAGGACTGTTTGCAGGAGTAGAAAGTCCCACCTTTCTCCTGAGGAGCTGCTGGTGGTTTTGAACTGCTGTCCATAGAGCATCAAATAATCTCCTTTCTATTAGTTATATAGATTTTTAAAAACTTTCTACACTATATATGTGTGTTTAAAACAATAATAGGCCCCCAAATGGGCCTGGCTTATGTGAGGCTTTTGTAAGCTTGTTTTTAAATCATTTACCTGTCTAAGAGGGAAAGGAAACATAGTTATCTAACAGAGGAGGAGCCGCAGCGGTGTAGTAAGGTTATACATTAGACTGTGAGCCCCAAAGTCATCCATTCGAAACCACCAGACACGCTGAGGGAGAAAGATGAGGTTCTCTCCTCCTGTAAAGAGTTACAATCTTGGAAGTCCACAGTTAAATACTGTACTGTGGGATCCCTATGAGTTGAAATTAACTGGAAAGCAGTGAATTTGATAAGCAAATAGGTATCTTCAGAATACCTGCAACAATGTGGGGCATTTCAAATATGTCAGATTCTCCTATGCTCTGTCACGTTCAATGAACACAAGTTTTATTGTCTCCTTTTAGCAAGTAGGGAAAAAGGAAGAGCCCAAGAGAGATACAGTGACTTTCCTTAGTTAGAACTCAAAATGAATTGTTACAAGTTTTAGTTAGCATTTTTCATCTAGTCATTTTAAAAGCATGTTATTAAAACGCAATGATTTGGCTTCAAGAACAACTTTGTTATGTAAGTGAATTGTGAATTCTGTCACTAAATTCTGGAATGATTAACACAGAAACTATACAGTTGCTGCCTGAAAATAGCTAGTGTGAAAGATCCTGTGTAAATATGAGGAAGCGTGCTCACAGGAAGGTATTGCTCAGACATAAATCCAGTACTTTCAGTCTCCAAAAAGAAAGCTTAACTTCAATTCTAAAAGCCAAATTGGCTTTTGAAATTTTGTTTGTTCTTGAAATATCTACTTTGATCAAGGTCATCACCCTATTTCTTCTCTGCACCCAAATCATCAGAAAAACCATGGTGAGTCAATTTCCTGGACTGTGAGTAGTTATTTACTAAAGTTTAAAATAATGTTAATTACGGATCTAAAACCCGTGTAGACTTTTGTTAGTTTAAATTTTTCTCTATAATTTCAGTGTTCTTCATTTGCTTCCTCTAATGCAATGTCACACTTGTTGAACAGAGCATGTGCACTCTTAATAAACATTAAATGTGGGGGGGGGAGGTACTAGGATGCAATGGACAATTCCCAATGGAAGGGGAGATATCTTGGTCCCATAAAGATAAGAAAAGGGATTTCAATGTTTTATGCATGGACATTACATAACAACCACAGGAAGAAGCTATAGAATCCAACATCATAGCTTTCTGTGTCCACTAGCATCTGGCAAGGAGCTATTCTCCTTAAGCTAACTGATTTTTAAAATTAAATAATTAGACAGAGCCTTGGCAAAAAAAATCTATTTCATACTATGGAGTATAGGTTCAGTTTTTCTAACAAAAATCTTTGTATTAACTATATAAAAGCATCTGTTTTCAGGTGCTATTAAATACAGGGAGGTGATGAGGGCAGGCCCTTCTTGGTAATGGGAGTCTCTAGTCCATGGTCACAATGTACATTTTTATCTTTGGGGACTAGAGCCATGACTAAAGTGCCCTACATGCTAGTCCAGCCCTGTTTTATGACTACTGAGGAACAATAATAGGAAGACATTGCTTTAAAACAGCAGAGACATTAAGTGAAATACAGAGAGTTGACCGAGTGTGGTAAGCAAGAAAGGACCTAAGGAAATGATTTTAAGGAGTTCATGACATAGTTGGAACAGCACAAAATGTATTTGGCAGCTGTGTGGGGAAAAGAGAGAGTGGGAAAAACTAAGAGGCACAGAGACAAAAAGGGAGGGATTATAGTATTTCTTAAGATGAGCAATGAATCATACATAAACAAGAATTGTATCTCTGGGGATGAGGAGACGGGGACAGACATTAGAGAAGTGAAGAACAGAATGATTTGGCAACAGTCTGCCTTGAGGATTTTGTGTTATTGTAATTTTTAATGCCAAATGTTCTCAGCATGGCAGATGATCAGAGTTTTGTGTCTCCATTGCTTACACAGATCGAGTTTAATTAGAGTTCTAGGCATCGGCTTAGTTACTCCCTAGACTTACTTTCTAAAGAAAAGGGCCAATTTGAGATTTTGATTCCAAAATGATTATATTCTCATTTGTTCATGTGTTTTTTGAAAATGAATAATTTGATCAATCTAATACATACTGATTATCTACTGATGATAGGCATTATCGTAGAGGTACAAACACTTAATTGTTTGGCCAGTAGCTGAGAAGTGGGTCCCCAGAGGCACCTCCGAAGAAAGCAATGGCAATCTGGCTCTGAAAGGCGGCAGCCATGAAACCCTGATGGGGTGTAGTTCATCTCGGCAGTACACAAAGTCACGAGGAGGTGGGAGGCCACCAGCCGTCAAGGGCTGCTGAAGTTGGAGAGCGATGCTAACACCCTCAACTTCTCTAACACCCACTAGTCCTGGTGAGGCTTTTAAGGAACATGTCTTATTGCCCTAAGTGGATACTGAGACCCCAGGAAACTCAGAACATTGCCCACTGTTATCAGAGCCTGGGAGAAAGTGGTCTGTGGGTGTAAATGTTGCTCTGTGTCAGTGTCTTTATTCTGTACTGTCTCCTATCACAAAATATTTTGTTAGTGATTGTGTTATAATCACTGACTGGTATTAAAACGTAACTGGTATAAAAAGAAAATTGATTCCTGTATGCACAGAGGTGTAATATAAATATATTCAATACACATATTGAACATCTATATTCATTTTAGCAGTTTTACTAACATATCATTCTTATATCCTACAAGTGGTTCAAATTTGATAATACTCTTATTTATATTAAACTATAAAATCTTACATAGGCAGCACATTGGACTATCTAATGTCATTTATACAATACTACATTTGTATATAATAAATGTTATTTGATCTTTATGTCATAACAACAATATATTCTTTATTTCTTCCTAATCGTTAGGTAAATTATGTTTGACCCATATTATGTTTAGGTGTTGTCAGGTGCTGTTGAGTTGGTTCCGACTCAGGATAGCCCCATGTATGACAGAACAAACCCCTGTTGGCCTCACTCTCCTCACAACTCCTGTCAGCCCTGTTTTGTAGTAAAGATGTCAGTCTATCCCATGGTATATCTTCCTGTATTTCATGAATCTATGCTTTACCAAGCATGATGTCTTATTCAGGGACTGTTACTTTTTGATAGCATGTCCAAATTACATGAAAAGTATTACCATACTGGCTTGTAAGCACCACCCTGCTATATTTTTTTCATGACAGATTTGTTTGTTCTTCCATTCCATATTCCATATTATCTGCCCATGCCATCAATTTTCCTACAGTCTTGCTTATTAAACATCCAACTTTCACATGTGTTTAGACAACTGAAAATATCCTGATTTGTGTTAGGCACACCTTTATCATCAAAATGACATCTTTGCTTTGCAAGGGTGGTAAATTATTTAATGTAGCCCCTCTAGCTAGTCTCTAATTCCCATCCAATGACCTTTTCCTTCATGGGTTTGGAGCAGAAGTGGGGGAAGACAGTGATAGGATTCACTTCTGAGTAATTGGAAACAGGCTTCATTAGAACACCATCCTGCTGGGGCAGAAAGAAGCCCTCTGCGAAGCAGGAGGAGATCTCATTACTCGGAAAACCAGGAGTGGAGTGTATCTCATTATGCACAAGATCTGTGCATAATGAACCTCCTTGATCCAGAAAGCAGCTGTGCCATCAGAGATGCAGCAGAGGCAGATGCCTATGCAGATGGAGCCAGAGCATGAGACAGAGCAGTGGACCAACCAGTCCACGGAACAAGGAAAGCTTAATGCTTTGGAGCTGGGGGGTGGTTGGTGGAATAGGGTGCCTCTGGGTACTTTATTGGGGGAGATAGACTTGCTCATCCATGGAGGCGGACCTTCCTGGTTGGGACTTACTGGAGTGGGGTGCCTCGGGGCAGTTAATTCAGTGAACTGGGTTATCTGATCCACAGAGTTTAAGCTGAAGGTCTCTGTGTTGAGATTTACAGCAGAATTGGCCTCCCCTTGGACACTTTTTAGCAGCCCTGAAAGAACTATATAACAAGCCCTAATGAACAAACTGCATCCTAAGCATTTCTCCCTTGCATTGCAGCCTGTCAGCTTCCATAATAAACTCTTAATCATGAATATTGTTTGTAAATTTTGTGTGGCCATGCCAATGGATTATTGAACTCAGGAACTGGGAAACTAGAGTGTTGTGTATGACCCAATGGCTTTTTTACACTTTAAAACAGTCTTTTGCAGAAGATTTTCCCAATCTGAATATAATCTCTTTGGCCTACATTTCTCAGTAACTTCAGGAAAGCAGTTCCTCTACTCAATTGTATTACAGAATAATCACAAATGCACTACCTAAATGTATGAAATACAGTATAATGTATTTGACAATTCTTTTCTTATATTTAAATAATTTACATTAAATTTTAAAGCATATTTTATTATATGCTAAGACCAAGAACTAAAATATTTCTTAAAACCAATGTCACTGCCTTTGAGTTGTTTCTGACTCATAACAACCTTATATGACTGGGTACGTTTCTGTGGTTTCTGAGTTTGTAACTCTTTACAGAAGTAGAAAGCCTTATCTTTCACTAAAAATAATATTCCATAGTGTTACATAACTGTACATAACTCTCAAAGTTGATGTGCCTTATAGGAATGTTCCTCATAAATGTATGCAGACTAATTCCATGTATTTATTTTTTAATCTGAGGCTTAGTGATAAAGTCATGGTTAGCAAGTATCTATGTCTCATTCAGTTGTTTGAATTCCTAAACTGTGAATTCCACCAAAACTCTCCTATAGGTTTATATTTGTCTAGTAGTTTAATAGCATATAAAGAGGTAAATCAATACAGCTCAGAGTAAGAACTACAAAACAAACCAAAACCTGAAACCAAAATCGAACAAAGCAAAAACCAAACCTGAAACTCAAACCAGAACAAAACCCAAATTCTTGCATGATCAGTTGATTCTGAGCCATGGTGATCTCACTTGTTATAGAATCAGGTTTTCTTGGCTATTATCTTATTGGAAGCAGATTGCCAGATCTTTCTCTTGGGGTCTCACTAGACAGGTTTCGGAGGACAATCTCTCACTTAGTAGACCAGCATAAACTGCTTACACCCCTGGGGACCAGCACATGAGCTATAGCGCCCTTCATGTGGATAAGAAAAATGACATCCATTCGACACTTCTGAATAGGAAAGCCTTTGATATAAATCAAGAAATATTTATGAGTACATCATCATATTATGAATCCTATTCTCCTCTTTTTTGCTAATAGAATGTATTTCCATGCTGTATAATGTTTACCATTTAAATCCTGTCTCATGCACTAGAAAAGTGTTTCCAAGGCTACCTCCTATTTGGGAGGGTGGGCAAAAAAAAGAAGAAAGGAGCAATTTAGCTGGTTCTAGTTCCTATTAGAGTGCATGTTTTATGAGGTTTAGGGTTGCTAAGAAATGTACTTATGACAAAGTTTAGATTTAATAATATTAATTTAAAAGGTATGCAAAAAACCAAATTGAATTGCACCTATAAAAAAAATAAGGTGGGTGTTTTTTCTTTTGAAGTTTTAACTGGAGAAATTTCATACTGTTTCATGATGTTATTTCTCTTTGTTAAGAACAAAAATTACATTGCAAATATAAAATGATAATAAAGATAAAATAAATTCCCATACCTCTCCGTTAAAGAAGCAGAAAATCGTAGAGACCAGAAGACCCTGTAAGACAAGAACAGGATGATCTGATTCCAAATGGAAAAAGACACATCTTTATAAACCAGTTGCTGCATATATAGTAAACCCTAAAATCAAAGATGCATGCACATTTCCCACCAGCGTTCCCTGATATCAAACGAGCCGTACCTGGTAGTGCATAAGGATGTGCATGATGTAGTCGTAGACCTCCTCCGCAGTCCTTCCCTCGGGTCGCCATGGGAGCAGCACGAACTCAATGCCAAGCAGCGGCACCAGGATAAGAGTAGCTCTCACCGCTTTCATGTAGAGGTGAGACTCCGCTTGGTGAGTCACTTTTAACTTGGTGATGAGAACCCGGACAATATTCAATAGGAAAAAGAGATTGACCTAAAAGGAAAATAAAATTCATTTCATATTCCATATTCAAAATCATTATTGAAGGACCTCAAATTTCCATAAACCTTAGAGCATTTTTTATGTTCGAGAATGTATTCTACTAAAGGGTATATTTGTCTAAGACACTCCCTGGTATTTCTGAAGTTTTTATTTATTAATTTATTCACCAATAGATAAGTTGAATGGATATGTGATGAAGCCCACTGAGAAATAATTATTATTTTAAACCATTATGCCTTATTTCAATACAATTTTATCACTTCATTTTTAATACAAATTTTGGATTTTGTTATACACCCAAAACTAAAGCTTCCGATGATTTTTCACTCAAATAATAAGTTATAACAAATGCTAAAAAGTATTAAGCATCGCTTCTGTATCTAAATTAGGTACTTTCTAAATTTAAACATTAACAAACCATTTTTATAAGCTCTCACTTTCTGTTTATAATTCTCATAACAACTCTTTAAGATAATACTGTAATTGTCTTTGTTCTCTGACAAGACTATGTCATGCAATTAAGCCATTGGTATTCAGCAGAGATCATTTTACAAGTTAAACCTTTTTGGTCCTTCTGTCAATTACTTCCTCTAGTCATGTATTTACAGTGCTCGAAGAATTGCTCTCAAGGTATAGCATCCCTTTTGAAAGAGAGACTTAAAGCTTCAAGTTCATGGAAACATCTAGGAAACTGGTAGTGTTCTGCTCAAACACGTCTCTCTCCTCCATCTCCTTTTCTCTCAGTTATTACTTTTCTCTTGTCTCCATTTAGTCTAGCATCTTTTCCCCTCTATAATTTGTCTATGCCTTCCCTAGGATGGCTGTTGTATGCCATCAACTTGATGCTGACCCCTAGGCCATCCCAGACTTGAATCTCTTCAGGAGCGTCACTGGCGGCTTTGAATGGCTGACCTTTCCGTTAGCAGTCAAGTACTTAACCCTTGTGCCACCAGAGGCGCTTTCCTCAAGTTTATGAACAGGAAATAGAGGAGCGTTGCCAAAGGTTAATTACTACCTGCCCCAACTTGAAGGAACCATCCCTTGTTTGATAATCTAAAAACTGCAAATTACATAAAACTATGTAAGTTACATGGCTACATGTTATTTAATATAGAAAACAATGAGCAAATATCAGGCAGTTGCTCTTATGAAGCACACTTTATCAAAATAATTGAAGCATAAAAATAAGTCAGTCCTGGTCTTAGAGACTTCAATGAAACATTTGCTTCAGTAATGTACATTACATGAATCCTTATGGAGACATCATGAAAACTTAGAGTTTGCAGCCACAGGAATGCCTTTGCTAAAGACAGATTTGTAATAGTCTTATCAACAGGTGTCCGAATGAAGTCTGGCTCATCAGGGTGTCAGCTGTTACTCCTTCAGAGGGAGCAGGGTGTCCTTGTCCAAGCACTCCCCGGTGTTTGAAGTGTTTTGATTAAGTGAGGAACACTTTCAACTCAGAGAAGGGGAGACATAAGTGCTCTTTTATCTGCTTATGCTTGCACATTTGTAATGCAGACAACTTTACAGTCTTAGCGTAGAATTACAATGATCAAATATATGATAAAGGTAACAAGAGGAAAGTTGCAATTTCATTTTATGAAAATTCCAAATGAAAGCATATTAAAAAGAAAATCTGACTTAAAGTACAAAATTCAAAACTAGAATTAAAAATGAGATTAATACTTATGTTAGCTATTCTATGAAAAGATATCCTGGATTGATTTGTACATGATTCTCTAATCCATTCTCTACCCAGTGCAGCTTTAAAAAACAGTTACGATGATACTATTATTTTACCTTAATCTCTGTAAATATTTTCATTTATTTCAAATGAGAATCGAAGAATGTTTGAATTATATTCTATATCTGAATATTACCCATTTTAGAGCAGAACTCTTGAATATTTGTAGTTCAAAAGAAGAAAACATATAAAATTATGCAATTTTTGTTTGTCTTCTGCTATGACATTGATGTCAGATATAAATTATTCATCAGAAAGGTACCACCTGAGCACAGACAACAAAGACCAATCATTGAAGTACCATTGTATGTTAATTATGATATTTAAAAATCTCTCATTAGAATGAGATATCTTGAGGGTGTCCCATGAAAGGTGGCCCAGAAGCGCCATATACTTAGGACGGTAATGCTCTCCATGCTTCATTATGACGTGTCTCGATCTTGTGGAAATGACTGCTGCTGTAAGTGATCATTGGAAGATTTGCCCTATTATCAACACTCCTTGTTTGTGTAAATAGCGTCTAGTCATGTACGGATTTAATCTGGACAAGTCAACAATTCAATGTATTGCGGTTCATAGCCAGCCTATACTCATATCATTTCCCTTTCTCAAATTATATCTTAAATTCTATACTATTGGCTTAACTACTGACACTGTCAATGTGTAGTCGTTAAGCATTGGGCTCCGAATTTCAAGGTCAGTAGTTCAAAACTACCAGCAAGCTCCACAGGGGAAGGATGAAGCTTTCTACGTGTGGATATTTGCAGGCTAGAAAACTCACAAGGTTGAGTCTCTGTAAGTCAGCACTGATTTGATGGCAAGGGAGGTGATACAGTGGAAAGGATGATTGACAATGCTCTCTCTAACACAAAATGACCATGATGTCTTGAAAGTGAACCAGAGACATATGTAGACCACAGTTACAGGAGTGGATTTGGCACTTGCTCTTAATTCTAGCCCCAATCTAAGAACAATTAATTCTTATGACATTGCCCTGTTGAAGATATGGGTGCTATAGCAAAGTATGGTACAGGAACTAGATAGTGCCTAGCTATTGAGCTATTGAATAATATTATATGTGGATTATATGCCAATAAAACTTAGAAAAAAATGAGATATCTTTTGGAAACCTAGATCTGACATCTCACTTTGAAGTGTTAAAATATACTATAAATTAAAAAAAATTATATCCACCACGAGCCATCAATACAAAAGTAAAATTCAATGAATGATTTTTAAATATTAAAAAGAAATTATATTTTCTAATCTGCTTTACAACCCAAATCAGAAAAACCTATAACTACATTCCACAAACACACAAACACTTCAAAGAAATGAGGCCCAGCTGTTAAGAAATTGTCCCACAATTTGAAATAGTAATGATTGTAAATTCAAAAATGAGCCCAATACATGTTGATAGCTACCTTATGGAAACATGTATCAGATATTTATCAGCTTTAATAGTCATTTTATTCAATTTACTTGACTAAAGCTTAAGTATTACTTTCTCTGCTCACCCCCCTTCAAATGAATGGATTTTACTTTTTACTTTTCTTGCCTGAAAGATATACATGCAGCATTTCCCCTGGGATTTGGATATGGTTTGAGCACTTCCTAGCATTGTGTAACCATGTATAACCATTGTACAACATGTAGCTGCAAGAAATATCAGGGATAAGGAAGCCTTTGCCTCAAAGCTGTTTTAGCCACCTGTCATCGCTGCACTACTTCTCCATACTACACCCATATTGAATTACGATTCTCAGTTGACATAGGTTAATTTTATAACCACCTCTCATGTCTGGTGAATCCCTCAAAGAGATCATACTAACCATACTATTGTATTTTAAAAATAAAAGATTGGTTTAATCCCTGAAACAAAGTAAGAAAATGGAGAAATGTAATTATCAGTAATTTAAAAAGAATGATGGCAAGCAAAATTTCTGAATCTTGAAGATGCCAAGAATACCATCAGTTAAACGGCCGTAGGACAACTGTCAGGCCTTACTTCTAAACGATTGTGTAGGCTGAAGATTTACTTCCACATTCTAAAGAGAGTTTAGAACATGCTCCTGGGAAAGGTGGGGTGGGTGGGGTTGGGGGTTATGAGCTTCTTTTGAAAGGAAAAAAACCAACAACAACCAATAATCTGAAAACTAGTGCAACAATAAAAACAATCGGAAAAACTACATTTCTTCAGACAAATCAATTTCTACACGTTTTTCCTCTTTTGGTGAGTTTTTAAAAAAAGTGTTATTAGCATATACTTCACTGGTCATACAATCGCGTCACTCAATCATATTAACAAGAGATGTGCAATCATCACCACATCGATTTTGGAGCGTTTTCGTCAGGTACTCAGTGTGGTTAGCTCCTCATTTCCCGCAGCCCCACACCTGCCCGGCCCCTATGTAATTACTGATCCTGCTGTTGTATTTATAGAGTTATCTATCCTGGATTTACATATGAAAAATCATACAAAACACACACAGGAAGCAAACAACAATAAAAGCAAAACAAAGCAAAAAAAAACAAACAAGAAAAATGACTACATAAAACAGAGAACAACCTCAATAAAAAATAACGGGGGAAATGGGTCAAACGGTAGATCAAATCTAAGGCATTAATTGCATTTTAACATAACGATGTTTGCCACATTTGACTTTACAAGGGTAGCAGTAACTGTTAGCCAGGTTATTCACAGCCCTGGACTACGGTCAGATGGGATTCACCAGAGACTTAATCCACTTCCTAGGAAAAATTCTCAAATCTTTTTATAGAAACACTTCAAATGTTCCACCAACAGTTGTTCAGAATTATTTTTCATACTGATGGAAAGCTAGAGTTCAATTGATTTCATATTTTTGTTGAGTAATATAATGCAATACTGTAGGATTGCCATCTCTTTAGGGAAGTCCACATAAAGCTTCTTCTGTTGTCCTCTTGCTGCTGGGCACAGGCAGTTTCTACTCTTGCTGCAACGGAATAAAACCCTGCTGGGCCTGCACCATCCTCACAATCGTGGCTATATTTGTGGCTATTGTTACAGCCTTTGCATCACCATTTTTTTTTTCATTTTATTGGGAGCTCGTACAACTCTTAGCACAATCCAACATCAGCTTCTTTTTCATTGACTCACTACTTTACCAAATATGGTGTCCTTCTCCTGATAACATATTAAAAGTATTTTTTTCTTATAGAGTTGTAAAACTTATGAAATTTTCCCATCAAACTATTTCTGGCTCACCAAATTTTAAATTTCATTCTCCTCCCCCCAAATCTACAAAATTCAGAGAGCTAGCAGGCATGAGAGGGTGCTGGGTCATCCGTTCTGGGTCATGAGAGGAATGAGGGTGAATGAGTGCAGGGAGGGAGGAGGCCTGGAAGAAGTTCATGTACAAGAACAGTCAGTGATCGATCATTTACCTGTAAACAGAACAGCCTGTAGTAAATGCATCTCTCTTTAACTTCCCCTTAGAGCCACAGCAAAATGCTAAAACCACACAACCAAAAGGGAACTATTGCAAAGAGGAAGTCTGAGAAAAAAACCTGAATACAATGGAAATATATCATTTACTAAAATTGCACAAAAAGCTGTGGTCACATGGACCGTGGCTAGGGTTCCTTCCCAGGATTCTGGGAATGGCTGGGGCAAGTAAGGTGTCTGAAACTTGAATTTCTGCTTTTGTTAACATTTATTTTAGTTAAAAAAAAAAAAAAAAAGACTTCTTATATTTTCCAAAGCAGCCCTGGTACCTTAGTGCATTAAGTGTTGAGCTGCTAACCACAAAGCCAGTGGGTCAAAGCCACCCACTGCTCTGTGGGGGAAAGATGTAGTTGTCTGTTCCTGGAAAGATCCATCGTCTCAGAAACACCCCAAAAGGAATTCTACTCTGTCTTCTCGGTTACTCTGAGCCAGAACCTGCAGGATGGCAGAGGGCGGGACTTGCTCAGGCCAGGAGGAAAAAAATTATTCAGATATTGTGACTTTTCACTTCCTTTCTTATTGAGCAGAGTGATGGGCTTTAGATCCATATGATATTTTACTCATTTATTCTTCCCTCCCAAAGTTGATAGAGCCTGGTTCGGTTGGTGACTCCCAGTGCCTCCAGATAGCCCTTCAGGACGGTCCATCTTCACGGGGCAGACCGCTTCGTCTTGCTCCCATGCAGCAGCCCGTGGGGTTGAAGTGCCAACCTTGCCTTAGTTGCTCTACAATTGTTCACTTGCTCCTGCTTTCACTTACTCCCTGAGCCTTTGATCTAGGGCCCTGGCTTACATTCTTCGTTCCACAGTCAGAGCTATCATACAATTGTGTCTTGTGTTTTTCAAAAAGTTTTGACACAGCCCAGATACATAATGTATCTGATTTCCATGGAGACCTCCTCAGTATAGAAGCATGGTATCACATCAAGATTGCAAGAGAAGAAGCTCTAGTCATATGCTAATAGTTTACCAAGAAATAGCTCATTGATCTCTAGAGCATGCAATGGGGTATTTATTCTTGTTGGTCCATAATTAAAGATGAGAAAACAAAGTCACAGAGTTCAGAACAAAACCCACCAGAAGTTTTCCTGAAATACCCAGCCGACATTGGTAGAGCCAGGGTTTAACTGGCTCTTTGACAACAGAGAACTCAAATCCAGACAGTCTCACCAGACGGTGTACACAGTGTGTCCCCCAGGCTCATTGTAGGAGAGGAACCATGGGAAGGAGGTGTTCTGCCTTGGAACGTTTTACTATGTTCAAGGATATAGTAAACATTTCCATGGGTATAACCAACTCCATGTGCTGATCTTTGAACTGGCTCTCTCGTGTCAGTCTGCATAAACCAGGCATTTAACACTTCCTGAGCACGTGCTGTATGCCAGGGTAAGCACTTTTCATGCCTGAAATCCTTTAATCCCCATGAAAGGAAAGGAAACAGGGCAAAGAAACTGAAAAGTTTCTCTTATGGCACGAAGATTGCACATGAAGAGGTAAGGGCGGCATCAGACCCAGGCAGCCTGTTTCTACAGCTTATCTTCTGAACCAGCATGGCTGACAGTTTGTTCTGACATGAACACATACCACATTGCAAGTACCATAAAATAAGAAGGGACTTTAAAAGACGAGTCGAAAAAGACAGAGAGCATGAAGCTTTGAACTATAGCTGAGAAACACAGCACCATTATCTTCTGATACCTAATTAATACTAACTCTAATTGAAGTATCACATGGCAAAACTATACATCTATGGCCTGATGTCTAATATTCTATGAGAATTGAGCTTACATACCAGTAATGCAGCACAGATCGGGCCGTGGATAATATAAAGGAGGTGGGTATCAGAGTTGATCCAGCAGCTAGGGGGAAACACAGGGAAAATATGGTGAAGATTTTCCTTCTACTTAGTTTCAATAGGAATCATAAAGAGAAATGATCTTACTTGTCGTTATAATATTGGCTTCTGGCGACCGCATGAATACAAGCAGGAATCAGTGGGAATCCTAGAAATAGCAATTAAAAAGAGTCAAATGCATTTCCTTACAGATGAAACACTAAATATTTCATGAAACATGAAAATAAAATATATTGCAGGAGCAAAAAATAACTGCTCAATATACATGAGGGGGCTTTTAGAAGTTTGTGGAAAATGAAACTGAAAGATAAGGGGATTTTTCAAAACCTTTTGGAAACATCCTTTTATTTGTTAGGTAAATGTTACCTGAATTAGTCCAACAGTAAGCTCTGATAAATTACCAGGGGGCGATGTTTCTGTGCTTGTGCAAGTGTGACATCTGTTCTAATCTAAGTCATTTTGCACCAGGTGGTCTGAATTCTGAGTCTAAAACCCTTAAGTGTGCTATTTAAGCTCTTAGGCTTAAAGGAAATTACTTCTGTTCCGTGGGTTGAAATGGGTCATTATTTGATAGGTGATCAGAGATGAGAAGCTTAACTTTAGAAGTTTCATGGTAAAAGACAAGTTCAATAGTGATGGCGTTATGTGAAGGACGAGAGAAAAAGCAGACATCGTTCTGGTACCAAAGAGTCATCCTAAATCGTGTCTTTCAAACAAATGAAATTCTTAAAGGTAGTCTAAATTTGCTAACAAGTGTGTGCTTAGGGGTGCATTTGCACACTTATATATATCTAGATCTATCTACATCTACCTTTGAATCCATATATCTATATTGTATACCTATATCTCTGGAGAGAGATGGATGACATTTCAGTTTTATTTTTAGAAAGTAATCATCTTGGATTTATTTTCTATTTTCTATTATTTTGGGGTGTTATAGTGCTAGCAGTAGATCTCTGCTTCATGAGCAGTACTGTGGCCAGTACGCTTGGTGGGGAAAATATCTTTTGTATACCTTTATTCATTTATTGGTTCCTATACACAACATAAAAATAAAATACTTTTTAAAACAAATGCTTTTCTTAAGCTAATTTTGTTGTCGTTAGTTAAATATCTTCCATTTTCTATTTAGCGCAATGTCCTTATCGTATATGTGACGACAAAGGTGATTCAGAACAGTGCAAAAGGCTAGATCGCGTCCTCATGAATCAAATTCAGCCTTTTGAATTATTACGAATCCAACCAAGATTCATTAATTAAGTGAATTAATTCATAGGAAAACCCTTTGTTTTACTAACTGACCTGCCATGAATGAACATAATGTGTGAAATGTGTGAAAACTCATCTGCTGTAAGCATCTCAGTTTACAATAGTAAGCACAAATTAAGTGCCCGGTTTTCTTTAAAACTTAATAGCAATAGTTCTATTTTTATTACAAAGGAAACTTGAGTCCTTCAAAACCATCCCGCCTTAGGTGAGCTAGCAGATATGGAATGGCACTTACCCCATCCAAGAAAATAATACCACATCAGGTGCTGCTTCTCTGCAAACACAGCCACCACGATGAGTGTGTGCAGGTGAATGCCCTCGCAGAGCATCCAGAAGTAATTGCAGCCCATCAGGTAGTGATGGATGAACTGGGACACTTTACAGCTAACCTGTCCGGGAAGAAAACAACATTTGATATTGAGTTGCTATGAGTTCACATATAAAACAACAGTTCTACTTATTTTAGTTGTATAGGGACAAGGAATTTTCTCTCTTCTGCACCAACTTTTGACATCAAAGATTCAGGTTTATAACATGCTAGTTGTCATAGGTATCTAGTGGTGTCACTACAAGTTCAGCCACAGACTCCAAAGAGTCAAAAATATGCATGGGAAATGGATACCTAAAATGTATAAAACATATTTAAATGTATATGTACATGGGGACACAAACATAAAAAAACACCTAGTGCTTTATATACTTTTTACATAATAAATACATGCAGACAAGTTTATTTTGCTTGGAATAGCTTTGATTTCCATAAATCCAAATATATTATAGTTAGTGGATATATAAACATTTTCCTTATTTTTAGTGATTAATTAGAAGTGTAAAATTTCACACATGAATGATTTCATATACACTTACATTTATTTTAAATATGTTAATACAGACCCCTTTTAATGAGCAATTCATTAGAAGTGCTGAAATATTCAGGCAATCCTGCAGATTCTGAAACGCCAGTGAGAATATAAAGTATCACTCTAATGTGCCCACCCCTGTGCTATTCAAAGATAAGGCTCAAGCATTTCATATAGGAAAATAGGAGAATATTTTGTGGTTTCCCTTGCTCTTTTCCTCACTTTCCCTTCTTTACTTGTAAGAAGAGAAGAAGCAAAATCTTCAAACATTAAGTAAAGAAAATCGAAGAAGTAAGAGACAATTTACTCCTCAACAAAAGTAATCAATTAAAAGCTTCCTTATTATGTTTGATTACACCTGGGACTTAATAAATATCAATACTCATTTCTAATGAATTCTTTTACTAACTAAAAATTGACAATGAAGCAGATTAGAAGTAAATCCTGAGTTATCATAGAATGGTAATGAGAACATTTGCATGGAAGTTAGCTTTAAAAATATTTTTACAGATATTATCTTGTATAATTCTTAAAATAATTTTTTGAAATGTGCATTACTACTATTTAAGTACTTAATAGAGTAAAAATATTGGAGACGTTAAATGAGTTTCTAATGTTCATGGAATAGCAATCCAAGCTACATCCCCAAAATTAATGCTGCCATTCAAATTGTTTTCATCACTATACACATTGTCTTCTGATGAATATAAATAAAGCCTCTCCCTTTATCTGAGTAATGTATAGTATTAGATTTTTGAATAACACACCTGTGATGGATACGTTTTCTGTCAAATTGGTGCACCTATAGGAAAACATGGGTGGAGTCCAACCTATCGGTCAGGTCACAGTTTAATGATGTCTCCTGGGTGTGTGGTCTATTTAGAAGAGTTCTTGTGGAGAACTTGTCTCACTCTTTGGACCTTCTCCTTTGTGATTCTGGGCCGGTGGCCCATGGGGCCTGCTGACCCATGGGGCCTTCAGTGTTTTGCCATGTATCTACCAACTCTAGATTCCCTGGACACTGCACCTTCCAGCCCATAATCTCCCAGCTTCCTGCTTTGCCATCCTGCTTCATTGACCTGCAGATGTGTGGGTCTGAAGAGGCCACCAGCTAGCATCTGACCTGTATGGACATGAGTTGGACTAGCCAGGGATTTTCCCTTGATAGAAAGTTCTTTCTTATGCATTTAAGAATGCCACTGGCTTTGTTACCCTAGAAAATCCAGCCTAAGCTAACACCTTAATGTCAAATACGGCATTATATTAACAAAGTGTCTCTCAAAGGTGGAAATGTGCTATTCAAATGCATTGTATAGAAATGATAGACATCAATTCAACCCTTATCTGTATAGGAGAAGTAAGACAAAAGTACTGCTACAAAACCATAGAAAATCAAACAAAACTCGCTGCCATCGAGTGGATGCCGACTCATAGTGACCCTGTAGGACAGAGTGGAATTGCCCTGTGACTTTCCAGGACTCTAACTATTAATGGGAATAGAAGCCCTGTCTCTCTCTTGCACAAAACCATAGAAGTCATACTACGTAAAAAAGTATCAAAATGCCAAGGCATTGATGCTCAGGACATGTTTCATCTAGGTCTACGTAGTTCTAAAGCCTGTGTTCCTTCGCTCTGTCTCTCTGCCAAACAATTCTGCATTCTTCCATTTACAAAATGTCCCAATCACAGTTGGGTATACTCAAGGGGATCAAATTGGATTCCTTTGAAGTATTCTTTGGGTTTTGAAAATAAAAAGCATTCCGAAGGGACAAGACCAGGGATGCAGAGTGGCTGGGATAAGGTTCCCCAGTGACGTTTTTGAAGGATAACCTTTGCTACTCTTGAAGAATAAGCAGGGGGGAAATATCCTTAGCACAAGTTTGCTGGCCTTTCTCTGACCAGTGCAGTTTTCAATTTCTAAAAACGTCTTCATAATAAGCCCCGAAGATCCTTCTGTGTCCTTTGAAAATTAAATATCTCAGGATAATTGCTATGAACCCCACTCTCCCCCTTGGAAAACCAAACCAAGCCAAACCACAGTTTAATTAACCTCTGAGCTGACCTATCTGCCTTGACTTGAACTGGTCCAGCAAATCCCCTCAGAAACCAATGTTTTGATTGGACCTTTTCTTTTTTTTAGAAGCACCCTAGAGAAACTATGATAAGCACGTTACTGAGAGAATCTATTTGCAGCCATCTACTGACCAGACTCCTGTTTAAACATGTTTTGTTTGGAACAAACCTGTGGATGAATGAACTGTAACCCTGTACCAATACTTTTGGACTTCATGTCATATTTTAAGATATTTTTTAGGCATTCTTCTCTCTTTGGGATTATAATACCTTTTTAAAATCTATAACCTGTTATGATAAAAAGAGTTTAATGAATGCATTAAAATATGCAATAGGGCACCAATGGTATAAATGTTTCTCCAAGGAAATATTTAAAAATACTTATACTACAGTTTGCAATTTGTGTGATAAACAAAATACCGCTGTATTTAAATAAGCATTAAAATGTGTTGCTTTGCAGTTTCTGACTAAACTGTGCATCTTCTTGCCCTCTAGAGATTTATCTAAAATGTGAGGACATCAGCCAGCTTTTATGCTTCTTATTATATTCCAGTATGTTTCTCATCTGGGTGATTTTATACAAGACTAAACAATTGGGATGCACATGTGCAAACAATGCAGAGGATTTGAGGATTTGGGAAAAGCTCTAAAAATACATAAAACATAATTGAGTATTGTTTATGGACCCATCAGTGAAAATTCCTTTCCTTCTTTGGTTTCAGTAACTAGATATCTTAACCTTCAAGAATAATACTATGTGTATTGCATATATATATATACATGTATACACAGGCATGTATGTATGTGTATCTGTATATGTATACTACAAACATTGTGTCAGCATATGTGTATCTGTATATGTATACTACATTGTGTCAACACATGTGTATCTGTATATGTATACTACATTGTGTCAGCATATGTGTATCTGTATCTGTATATGTATACTACATTGTGTCAGCATATGTGTATCTGTATATGTGTACTACATTGTGTCAGCATATGTGTATCGGTATATGTGTACTACAAACATTGTGTCAGCATATGTGTATCTGTATACTACATTGTGTCAGCATATGTGTATCGGTATATGTGTACTACAAACATTGTGTCAGCATATGTGTATCTGTATATGTATACTACATTGTGTCAGCATATGTGTATCTATATATATGTACTACAAACATTGTGTCAGCATATGTGTATCTGTATATGTATGCTACAAACATCATGTCAGCATATGATTTTTAAGTGAGCATGTGTGTTAAGCTATACACACAAATATTTTGATGGAAATATAGTTGGTGAATTGCACGTAGCATATATAACTTTATGTAAATATAAATTAACTCATTTTAAAAAACTGGTCTTTATGTTATGAACAGTTCTGTGATTAATTTTGTAAAACTTTTGATGCTCATCTTAAAAAAAATTGTGCTTTCAAAGAGACTGGAAGGAAACAGTTTTTCAATGTCTTTAAATAATGAGGACTGGCTAGATCCCTCTGAAATTTTACCTTAATCAACTTAATGAAATATAAAACAGCATACAATTCATTTCTCTTTTTCTCATTTTACAGACTTTAACAGTTTGATACTAAAAACAGTTTTTGTAAATTAAAGAGTTTTCATTACTCATTTTGATCTATTTCTCAAAATGTTATATAGTCACAAGCCCTAGTGTCTCCCTATCTGCAGGGCTGTCTACCCATAAAATGAGATGGATGTATGCCTAGAGTACATCAGAACAAAACAAAAACAAAGACATTTATTCCTGTCAGATCTTTCTATCTTAGAAAATGTTGAGAGATACTCATCTTGCTCGAGTAAAATCGCTACATATGTTCTATACCTGTTAGAACTTAAGCTATACCTGAGTGTGCACTTCATTATATACTCAGTACAAATAGCGAGGCCTTGCCTCTGTCTGTTTAACGTGAAGGTAGAGCTGTGGTTGACTTACAGGATTCCTAGCCACCAAGGCCTGGTTGTTGGCTACGGCAGTGAGATGGATGATCGTGACAATGGAGTTGCAAATAAAGGAGAAGAACAGGTTTTTGTGCAAGGTGATCCTCTGGCAACTTAGGCTCCTGAAAGACAAGAGAACCCAATGTGTACTTACATCATCATATTCTTATATTTTTCATTATTAATTATTCAAATATGATTCATTTCAAATTCATACCAGCTCCAGAAGGCTAATGTGCTAACATTTTAATCATGAAAAATGTAGAATTTCTTAAAACCTAGAGACAAATGAATTACATCAATATAGTAAACATACAGAGGTATGAAGACTTTTCTGTACAAAACCTCTACATAATTTTTTTCTGTTCATCTTTCTGCAAAATACTTATATTCTTTTTGAAACTGTGCAAACTGAGACTTAAGTGAAGTTAGGTAACTGAGCAAAAACTCGTGCAGCTAGCTAACTTAAAACTTCGATTGAGTCAGATTCCAGCAAACGTAATCGCATTTTCTTCAGACTAAGAAGGTTGCTTCCTTTACGCAGCCTGAGTGTTTCATTTTTGTGCTGGTCAGGCAGAGCAACCATGAGAAAGATAATATTTTGTTCAGAATAGATTATCTGATAACAGGTAGACATAGCAATTAATGAAAAAAACATTTTTTCACTTTCCTATATATTTTTATTTTATTTTTTATTTTTTTAAAAACTCACACTGATTTATTAGAATATGAAAAAGACTCCATTTCATCTGTACAGGCGGCGGGGCGCGGCAGCTGCGGTGGCTTTGTACATGGTTGTCGACGTCACCCTTGCATGGCGACTCCTGCCCAAAACAGCACTTGCAGGGAGAGGGGTGGACCCACTGCCCAGTGCACTGGGAAGAGGGCCACGTGGACTATTGCACAATCCTGGGACAGGTGCCCTGGGGAGGAGGGACAGACACCAATGGGCCTGGGCCTGGCCCAGGTGGGGTGCGGAGTATGTGCCAGTCAGCAAAGGCCTCTGGGTGCCACCTCTTGGCCCAACCCACCAGCCCTGGCTGAGGCAGATCCTCAGGGAAGGCCTCTCTCCCACCAAGGCTGGGCTCCACAGCAAACTGGGTGGGGGCACACATACAGAGAACCCCAGGGGCCAACCCAGGGCTACGGGGTTGGGGATGGAGGTGGGGGAAGAACAGGCCGGAAGGCCCAGCATGTGTGAGGTGTGAGATCATGATCTGAGGGGCAAGGGGGTCACTTCTGCCATCAGAGTCTCAGGGCACAGCCGAGGACCTCGGAGGCAGGGTGGGGGGCACAGAGGCGCGGGAGGAGGGCCGACTCTCTGGGCAGTGGAGTGAATTAGTGGGGAAGCTCTGGTAAGACATGGATAGAAAAACGTGGCAAGGACAAGAGTGGCCTCTGCAAACAAGATCATACAGGGGGCGGGGCCACAGAAGACAGACAGAAAGACAACCCCGCCCTCTGCAGCGTTCTCCCCACAGCACCCCCTCCCCAGCAGGCGCCCCGGGCCGCCGGCTCCCGCAGAGGGTCACACCACTAAGCAGAGCAGCTGAGGATAGCGGGTGGTGCCCAGGGCTGCCCTCAGCCCACCGCTCTGAGTGGGGGCAGGAGGTGGGGCTGGCTGGGTGACAGAGCTGGCAGGTGGAGGGTGGCACTGCCACTGCCTTGGCTGCCACAGGTCCTAGTGTTTCCCCCATGAAGGAAGCCCTGGCCCGGCCAAGGGGACCCTCAGCTCCTTCCCCTCCCACGTGGGACAGGCCTGAGCCAAAGGCTCTTTGGTTATAGAAGATTGGCTTGAGTGAGGAGGCTGGCGGAGGGGCGCGGGGGCAGGGAGGGACCCTGGGGTCTGAGAAACTCCCCTCGTCTGGATGTGGGGGAGCGCCTGGACCACCCTCGCCAGCCCCAGTGGATTGGGAAGGCAGTTCTGGGGGTGAGAGGACGCTTCCCAGGGGGCTGCGGGAAGCCGTGCTGCGGCGGGGGGCGGTGGGCCCAGCTGCCATGCGGTGGGGTAAGACAGGGCCAGCCTCGGTCAGCTAGGGCGAGGGGAGCCCCGGTGCCCAGTTCGCAGCAGCCCCTGCTCTGGTGAGAGAGTCTGCGGTGGGCAGAGCCCTGGGCTTATTGCCCCTTGGGGATGAAGGGCTCGCCCTCCCCTGGCTCAGGGTGGGGGCCCGGGTCATCCTATATATTTTTAGTTGACCAAACCATACCAAAACTAAACTGGGACCACTATCATCTAGTGAGTGCTGACTCAAAGCCACCCTGCATAGGATTTCGGAGGCTGTAAATCTTTATGGGAGCAAACAGCCTCATCTGTAACATTCCATCATCTACCAGACACTGCCAACAGATGCTGGTCAAACCATGTGACTCAGTTACTGCCCTGGAGTCAGCTCTGACTCATAACAAACCTGCAGGGCAGAGTAGAACTGCTCCTCTGGTTTCTGAGGCTGTAAATCTTCACAACGACAGACAGCCTCATCTCCTGCCATGTGACTGGTGGGTAATGTCTGATGACCTTGTGGTGAGCAACTTAACAAATAACGTACTAATCTGAACCATGTAAACTGTATAAAATGGCATCGCCTTACGGTGGAGTTCTTCATAATACAGAGTAATTGGCTTGATGGAAAGTAAATAGAAGGTGCTTTCGAAAGTTGTAATTAATTGCGACCACTGTCTCCTTCCAGAATGAATCCACTCCAAGGAGGGTAGTTGGTATAGAATTGCCTTACTCCTACTCAAGGGTCAAATCAAGACAGGTGGCCACCTTGCCCACACTCACCCATGATACCTTTGGCACCTTTCTTTCAAGCTTACCATGAAACAGGATCCATTTGAAACAGGATAGTTAATGTCACAACCATGCCAATATTTAAGGGGAAATAAATATCATTTTGTTAAAGAGACATAAACCCTATTATGAGTCTTTTACCATATTATCCCATAAATATTATGGTCAACCTAGTAAATTCCCCTGTACCATTCTACCAAAAATGTCTGATTTGGAAACTTAGGGGATATTTATGAAAAATTTCACTGTACTCCCTTATAAATAGAGTATGCACATATTATAATTGTGATGTGAAGATAAGGTTTTCTACTTTTAAAAATGCAATATGGAATTTAGTCTATATTATATGAATTTTCTTCTAGCAATTCTATATATAGAGCTCTCGTATTTACAAGTGCACTGGAAGTGAATTAACTCATTTATGGATTGTCCATACGCATGGAACTAGTTAGTTTGAGGGACATCTTTTAAGAAAAAAATCATGGAAAACATCACTATCAGATAGAACTTTGAGTGGCAGTAGATGAGTAAATGAACACATATACTTATATGCACTGATGGAAATATAGCTGGAGTTCATCAAACTGAAACACAACTAGGAGCTGCTGATATTTTCACAGTGGGGTTATTTACTTTTTGCCGGGCTTGGGGAGTCATGAGGGGCAGGAAAGACCCTACAGAAGACAGGTGGTGTTAATTTAGGAAATGCAAAGGATATGCAGAGATATGGTCTCTGTTTTCGCTAACATGCCACCACAATGGCATGATTGCTTTGAGTTCACTGGGAGTGAAGAGAAGTGATAAGCAGGAGAAAAAGCCTAGGAGAGAATAGCACTTTCAAGTAATATCGATTACGTGTGCTTTATTTCTTGTAAGAAACCACCCTTCTATGATGAGTGTTACGAACATTTGAAATTCGTCCAAATGAGTTTATCTTAACATGACTGCTGTGAGTTTACCATGTGTTTGTGAAAAGCCCGGTGATGTTTGGGGGAGAATTGCTTTTCCATGCAGACAAGCATTGCTTTTAGTGGCAGAAGTGACCCAAGTGGGTCAGCCACCATTATGGGGAGAAAAAAAGTCTTCCTTAATTGGGCTATGCTGCCCCGTTTTCGTTGAACACATTTATATTCAGAGTCGCTGGTCAAGACATATATAAACAAGATTCTTTCACAAGTCTGCAATTGTGACCCAAAGACCGGAAGATCTGCTTAGATAACAAATGCAAAACACTTGTAAGGAATAAATTGGGAGGAAGAAAAACAAATGTTAAAGAATGCTTCGAAAATATCTAGAAGAAAGGTCTGAGGAACATGACATCAGTGGATTTTTATAGTGTAATCAGAATGATTATTTTCACATTCTCATGTGAAACGATGAGAAGGAAGTGATGTATAATGTTAACTGTAATTAATTAAAGCTTGTAAAACCTCCCATTTGTACATTTCAACTTTCTGCTCTTTGCTACAATACCCTCATTTCTGTTCCTCTCAAAACTTCTCTTTTCTGATGGCCCCACTGCCATTGCAACCTGAATGGAAAGTTAGACCTAACAATGACCTGCTGGTGCCTACTTCCTTCCAAGGATATAATTATTATAAGCGCAGTCTCACACACACGAACAAAGAAAATAAAAAGACTTTTCTTCTCTTTTTATATGATAAAAGGAAATAGATAGTATTTTCTTCTTTTAGACCCAAACAATGCCATACTATGGGCAAACTTTTGAAATGATAGGAGGAAATGCGCTTATAACTAATGGGGTATTTAATACCAAACTAAGCAAATACCTAAAGAAAGCACATAGGATCATTTCATTCCATAAACATAAGAGCTTATTGTGAGTGCCTGACAAAATGAGCCAATTCAAATGGTCAACCTAAGATAATCCACCTTATATATAGTTCAAACCAAAGACTTCTGCTGTGGAAATTCTGAGACCCAGGTTAGCTGTCCAAATTGTTGTAAAATATTGGGCCATTGCCAATTCATTTTACTTTGTGTTGTGCAAATATGTCCTACTGTCTAAAATACTACCTTATTGTTTTAGTTTCTTCCATTTCTGCCCCTAGGCCCTGTGCAATTTAAACAAACTCAGACAGATGCTATCTGACATATGGTTTCTATCAATGTCTAGTGGTAGAAAGGGCTCAGATTTCTAGCAATGCATAGTTTCCTTCTAAACATATTCGTTAGCACATGTTAGGGGATGGATACAAATAAAATCGACTTGTAAATGAAAACCCAAAACGTGTCATTGGTAAGCACACTGGCTTGTTGAAGTGAAACTACAATATCTTTTTCCAAAAGTTAACCTGCAACGAAGTTTGC